GTATACAGTTGTTTCCTGTGTTTTCTATGGCTTACATCCAGTCACTTTACGTATGTGATCTTTAGTTACCTAAGCTCTAAGTTAATTCCCTGAACTTTATAAAACACTCTTGACTGAGCACCAAGAGTAAACAATTTATTAGAATTATTATGCTGACTCTGAGATTATATCGCTGGACGAATAATTCAAAGGTTGGTTTTAATAATTGTAATTAATGCAATCACTTGCTTTAGTGTGTGGAAATAAGTACATCTTATTTTCTACCACACTAAAACCCTACACCAGCGTTAACTGGCTTTTTACTATGAACATTTTTGTTTTAAGAGATTTAAAATTTCAAACAATTGATAGCTTGGAAGGTGGACAAATACTGTGTCAGACATTAGAATTAAGTGCTTGTTCAAGCACTTCCTCAGTCCAACCTGTGCCAAATAAACAAGTGTTGTGTTTTCTTTATTTAGCACACAGGTAAACCACCTTAATATATTTTTTATTTAAAGATAGTGTACTAAGTTTATTAAGTATCTACAAATTCATATTTGATTTTCTGTAACAATAACAAATACAAAAAATTTTTAGATGACAAAAAACGAAAAGTAATATGGAAAGACTATACCCTAATATTTGTTTGAAGACTGGGTCTGTTTAGTTCAGACTGTATTAAGAAGTTATTGGTAGTGTAAGTGTGAAATGCTTACAGCATTTAATGGTTTTCTTTGCTTATTTGTGTATCTTGAGCTCTACATTTATACAGAGTACCTAAACACTGTCATTTATGAAGAGCATGTATTAGGATTCATATTCTATTGATTTACTGATTCGCTGTCCAAAATCGGTCTTAATTTTTTTTAAAGTATCCTATTAGTCTAAGTCCCTGTGACATTGCGTCAGTCAGTGAGTCTGCTTAAACAAAACAGTTGTATGTTATATGTCTCACAAGACTTAGCTAGAAACAAAATGTATCATAAATTGTTTTGATGAGAGGTGAACCAATGCTGTGCTTTAAAACTCTTGTTTGTATAAAACACAATGTTTTCCCAAGTTTCTACAGTTGACTAGGTTAGGAGCTGATGACAAATTTTTAATTTTTAATCTTGAAGATTTAAATACGAACGAAATATTAATATAGTGATGAAAACCCTTTTGCGTTCCAGTTTTAAAATATGACTTTAAAAACAAAGAAAAGGCATCTTACCCTGACGGGCGCACTCAAATAAAGAGCCAATCTTTTCAAGCCTCTCCTTCGCAAAGGCTGTCAAGGAGCATCAAGGGGTGAATACTTTGCATTGTATTTAACTTTTCATCTGCTCTCTGAGAAGCAGCACTGGCTTGAAGCCCAACGCATGAAGCATTAGATGTTTGCAGCTTTAAGTACAGGAGAAACAACAAAAAAATTAATTGACAACAAATCAGTTGACAATGTGCATACATTGTAAAGCACAGTTGCACCCACTGGACAACTTTGTGCTGTTACAATGTAGGCCTATAGTTGTTGTAAACCATGAAGTCTTTATTAAGTATCTCTTGTTTTCAAATTTTACTTCAACCAACAAAAATCTAATGTGATGCGTAAAGGTGAAGACACAATTACTTAAAGTATTAGAACTGGAATAAAAACACCTCTTTAAATGACATTCTTGGATAATCACAATTCTATATGACACAAAAGTTAATAGGTAAATTGTAATAATAAGCTTGTTCTAATAAATAATTAGAATGAAAATAAATGAAATAATGAAAAATAATATATATTCAATATATTCTTTCCCAGTATATAGTTAAAAAGGTCAATTGACCTTGCAATGGCATGCTAACTTAATCACAAATTTTACTATTCGGTTTATTTATCATATTGAAAATATACATACCAGGATAATGGCTTCATCTTTAATCGATGAAGCATTGTAGGCTTTCTTTCGGCCAGCTGCCCATTCTTCGCGCCTCTTACCAAAGTTTTCCAACTTACATTGAAGGCGCAGCTTTTTTGGCTGCTTCTGTTTGCAATTACTACATTTTGTTTTTTTGTTTTTTTTGTGCACAAAAGAGTGCCATTTGACAAAATGGACATTTTTTTGTCGTGGAACCCCCTGGCATGTTGAATCGTGCAATAATTCTAAAAGCAAAACCAGTAGGCAGTAAACTGTAGAGAGAGAGAGAGAGAGAGAGAGAGAGAGAGAGAAAGTGAGACTTTAAATAATTACTTGAATTTGTGAACCATGCAAGCAAATGCAGAGAAAAGAATCAGTTATTTGACATTTAAGTGAAACATGCAACAGACAATTAATAGCCACTAACTTATCTGGACAGTAGGTTGACCGCAATGAAAAAATCCTATAGGCAGCGGGGAAAAACGTCTTCCCGGTCGATGAGGTTTATGGGCATTGTAGTCAGAGTAAAAAAAAACAGTGCTAAAGGAAATTCTTACGTCAGAATATAACGACTTAAGTATAATTTTAAAAATAGCAACTTGAGTAGAAGTAAGAACAAAGAAATAAAACAAAAAAAAATCTTGTAAAAAATATTTTAAAAATTGGGACCTGTCTCACAGAGTCTATGTAATGTTTTGTGTGTACATTAGGTAGTGGTAATGTACCTGAACGTTGGATACCAACTGTCAAATCAATCGAAGAAAATGAACAAGAAGAAGCCTAAGAAGCTAGTAGCTAACCAAGCCACCTTGCTAGCTAGCTAGTAGCTAGCCGCTGGCCTTTCAGTTACAATATTCAGATTATCCATCACTGCAATCACAGTAGATCCTACAGTCACCATTTTCCTGCATGTTTCCTTCTTTTCAGAGTTGTATTCATTTACAGAGAAATGAAAGTAACGGCAGGCATGTAGCCCAAACACAGTAAAAGCACAATCACAAATAAACGATAATAACGATAATAACGATGAACGATGTCGTTGGCATCACTTTCAGAGCGATCTCAGTACAACTTCTCTGTGCCTGGATATTTGTCGCCTTTTCTTTTGGAACAGATACGGAGCTTATTGCAGCTGGAGCACACAGTAGTGGCTCAGCACTGGTGTTTACGAAATGGTAACGTTCGAGCACACGGTACCGGCTCAGTACCGGCTCAGTGCCGGTGTTTTCAGAATGTTAACGTTGGTCAGTGTGGGCGCACATATCTTCATAGTGATCTCTGTAGTTCTTAATGTGGACACGCCATAACACTAAAATTGTTTAATACCTAACTGTCGAACGATAAGAATGACAAAAACATCACAGTATATGTGCTGTTGAAGCAGCAGAGACCGCTGTTGTTTCAAAAGAACCGACAATGAAAGGAAGTGTTTCTTGAAAGCCGTGAAAAGTGCTGTTGGCTCCATGGACTGTTGCTTACGGCCACACCACTGTGACAACGCCCGATCCCGTCTGATCTTGGAAGCTAAGTGCGGTCGGGCCCCGTTAGTACTTGGATGGGAGACTGCCTGGGAATACCTGGTCCTCTAAGCTTTTCCAGAGCTGGCTTGAAACATTTTGGGAAGTTAACCCTCACGTTGTCCTCTGGGTCAAGGTGACCCGATGGCCAACAATGTGCCTTTGTCTGTGTGTGTGTGTGTGTGTGTGTGTGTGTGTGTGCACGTACGGTAGGATTTGGTGTTTGTGCATGACATTCGTGATTCTGAAGCGAATATCTTTTGTTTCTGTATCATAGTAAGAAGAAAAAAGAATAAAGGAAACGATGACACAAACACTTCATATCACAGAGCCACTTTTATTTTAGTTTTCCTTTTCTTAGTTATCATCGTCACAAAATTCACAAGCAAAGCCACATCACTTTAATCAGTTCTGTAGGTTTCGTCAGACCCATTCCTCGGGGGCGTCGCACGTGGCGATGATGTGCGAGCAGACCTCCATCACCTGACTCTCGCTGTCGCCCAGATCGAACACGTCCGTACAGGGGATGAGGCCGCCACGGCCGGGGCCGAGAGCATCGGAACGCCTCAGCGGCAGACGAGGCCAGACTCTGTCCCCGTGGCCCGCAGTCGCCTTTGTCGTCATTGTTGTTGTAGGCAAAGGAGAAGAATTCCTCGGCATTCTCGGGTACCCATTCCGGAAGGTTCTTTACCTGAGTCACGGCCACGATGGGGACGGTGGCGGCGGAGGCCACAGATGCGTCCGCAGCAACAGACTCCCCGTCCACGTCGTAGTCATTGTACGTGGAGAAGGCGCTGGAACACAGCGCCTCTATCCTGACGTGCAATTTGGCATACTCGACAACAAACTCGGGCCCGTAGAACCGGCACTGATCCGAAGACATGCAGATGAACTGAGTAAAGTTGTCAAAGTCGTTGACAAAGCAACACATTCCCATGGCTGCCAGGCACTTGCAGAGCAGAGGGTCACGCTTTTTATTTTTACACTCCTGGGACATCCCTGTGGTCTCCAGGCACTTGCAGTCTGCTGCTGCTGCCGCCTCCTCTTAATCTTCATCCTTTCCTCCTGCTCGTGCTGCCGCCACTGGAGGTGATGCCTCCTCTCCTGAGTAGTCGTCGTCTCCCTCTCTTGCTTCCGCTCTTCGCTGTGGCTGACGAGACCAAGAAAACATGGTTTTGGTGG